ACATTTAGCTTTTATAAAAGGAAAATAAATATAAGAAAATTTTTAACAGATAAATATAAAAAAATAACAATAGATGAAGCAATATTCTTGCTGAAAAATCTTAACGTTGACGTTTTGCGGAATCATACATATCATTGATTCGTATATAAAAAAGAATTAAATTTATTGTAGTGTATAATTTTTCATTTTGTCATCTTGTCATCTTAGGTCGCTGTTCGAATCCGACCTTTCGCCCCCAATGAAAGCGGCACCAGGTCTTTGCACGCCGTTAATGATAAGGTAAATTGACACATTAATCTATTTACTCGTTAATTAAACTCGCTTAAAGTAGAACTCGGCACGCTGTTATTCGCTAACTTAATTCGCTTCAATTCTAATAACTTTTCAAAAATGTTTTTATCAAATTCGCAGATGGTAATGCTGGAAGATCAAGATGGCGATAAGCAGAAACGCACAGTACCGCGACAGTATCTCTATGACATCGTTTTCGGAGAAGATTCGACACAGGCGAGTTATTTATTCACATCAAACCAACGATTAAAAAATATTTATTCTACGATTCACATATAACGTTGCACACAAGTCTCTCCTATTAATTGCAAATCAATGATAAATAGACGTGACAAGCAAAATGATCGAACAAAAGGTCGATAGTCTCTCGATTCATAAACACGGATGTATTCATTATTGTTATATTGACAAAATCAGACGATGCAAAGCATTTTATCGCTATTCCATCGCTAACTTCAATCCGTCTCAGAAATCTGTCCTTAACCCTTTGCGGCATAGTGACACTCCAGAGTGTCACCTTTTTCTGTACACTTTTTTACATTTTTGAAACACTATTTAATTAGTTTTAATGACAAAAAGCATATAAAATGTATTAGAGAACATCCTTTCATAGAAATAAAAAAGAAAACAAATGTTATTGTTAATTAATTGAACGTTATAAATTAATTAATTAAAAAAAAAACGATTTTTTTTAAATAAATGTAATTCTGAGTAATTAACAGTATAAAATAATCTGAAGATGATATCTAGAGAGTTTTTGGGGTCGCTGATTACGAATCCAGTGTCAGTTTTTAAAAATTCAAAATGGCGGATTCAAGATGGCCCCCCTAAAAGTGAAAAATTACCCAATCTTCATGAAACTGAGTACTCAGGGGTTTTCGGGGTCGCTGATTACGAATCTGATCTCAGACTTATAAATTCAAAATTCAGAATACATAAAGTACCCAGTTTTATCTCGATCAAGTAAATTTTCACATTTTCGTCGGCCATCTTGGATCCGCCATTTTGAATTTTCAAAATCTGACTTCAGATTCGTAATCAGCGACCCCGAAAACCCCCGAGTAACAATTTTCAGCTGTTTTCCGTGTAAAGAAAAATGTATGCCGCAAAGGGTTAAAATGCTTCAAATCTGCCTCCTCTACCATCCTTCCAGTCTTCAACGCCTGATGCTTCTTGCGGATTGATTCGCTCGTACAAGCAATCCCTTTCGCTAACCTCTCCCGCTCCTTGATATCTTTCGTGTCGAGCGTCATCATCGACGTTTCGAGAACAACTAATTATTCTGTGGTACCACAAACTCATTTAAGCCACGTCTGTATCGTCCATCGCCAAGCGCACTATCCTTGTCTATCACAAGGAAGCCGTACTTGTGTTGCCAACATGCGCGACACAATGTACAAAAATCTTCGTACATATCCGTATTTACATGATCGTTGTAGACATATTTAAGGTTGGTACCGTCCTGCTTGAACAGGATCAACAGGTTCGCATTGTCATACAAAATGGCATACAAAATGTTTAGATATTTTTGCATACGTCTGAGACAGATAGAAACAATTGACTTTGGAATGTCGACCCATCGCAAAGTATTACCGTATCGCATCCTGTTTATCGCAAGCTATATCATCAAAGATAAATATAGAATTTGATAGCGTCTCGCTCGTAGGTATCACAGTACAATTATCCGAGAATGTAAAGTAACCGATATTATCCATCAGCCCGAACAATCTTTCAAGATACTAATATTTCGGTTGATGTAACGATTTTGAGTACACATACACGTTTTCAAAGCACACACCGTGCGGACTTTCCAACAGAGTCAACATTACGTTTGTTTTACCGCAATTCAAAGGACCGCAAATGATACCGCGTATCGTGTTTGGTAGCATTCGCCGTGTCTGGACGTGCAAGCCCCTCCCACGCGCGTCTTATCGTCCATCGTGTTTTTTACACGAATCGTGTACGGTTGTCGAACAAACTTCATTTTTAATGGTTGACGTTCGACGTGTGCCATTTATAAATGCGCGCGGCTCGAACATCCTTTAGTTGGAAAAATGTTTTTCGTACTGGCAAACGATATTTTACTTTTGACGGCCGAGGAATTGCGATTTATACTGAAAGTGATTCTTCTACTAGAATTTGGTAGGTACGTGGAGCAACTGTGGCAGAAACTTCCTGAACATTTAACAGAAGATCCAGAAGTGCAAGGTTATCGTCGGTATCTCAAGCATTACAATCAACAAGGCGACCACATCAACGGACCTGTGCCGTATATTAAAGATTGCGCTTTATGCAATTTATGAATCATGCGATAAATGCGCTTCTGTTCGAACTGCACATACCTGGTTATCAATTTTGTGGTCCAGAAACTCGTCTGTAGAAACGGCTGGAGCAAAGGGATCGAGGAATCAATCCGCTGGACGCGCCGCGATCATGACATTGCGTATTCGCGTAGGGACAAACTAGCGGACCGACACGCCGCCGATCGTGTTCTCACCGACAAAGCGCGGAAACGTATCATTGCTAAGGACTCGACTCGGAAAGAGGGCTGCTGTCACCGCTGTTTGGGCGGCGATGAAAGCAAAAACGAAATTGAGCATGGGAATGGCAAAAAGAAAAATAAAGAAAAAGGCGAAAAAGAAACTGCTCCCGGTAGCGAAGCGCGGCGGTATTTTGCCATTGTTACCGCTCTTGGGAGTTATCGATGAACTGACTGGGGAAGCGGTGGGCGTCGCCAATGCAGTAAATGATGCTAAAGCTGCGCAGCGACAACTCGAAGAAACGCAACGTCACAATCGTGCCATGGAAGGACGCGGACTTTATCTCGTTCCGTACAAACAAGGCAAAGCAGTCTCGCAGAAGAGAAAAAAGAAAACGCCGAAAAAAAATAAAGATGCCCGCAAGTGTCACCACCAATTTACAGTTGATACAAATGGCGAAACGTATGCGAATACCGTATTTCCGAGGCGTCTACATGCATAACGCTTTACCGCACAAGATATATCGAAACGAGAGTGGTATCGTAAATTTGGACGATGCCGATGGACCGAGCACGCATTGGGTGGCGTACGCCAAGAAAGGTGATCGCACCATGTACTTTGATAGTTTTGGTAATTTGCAACCACCGAAAGAAATTGTATACTATCTCGATACCGATACAATGATAACATACAATCACACTATCAGACGTACAATCAAATAATCTGTGAACAATTATGTCTATTGTTCCTCCAACAAATAGATTTAAGAATCGACCCATCGTCGATCGAAGATCGAAGAATCATGTCGCTGACGCTCACACTTAGCGGCAAGAGCAGCATTTTCACGGTGGATTATTTTCCACCGATAGATTTGAGCGATGGAGTATACGAACTCGGCTTAATCACATTGGAAATCTACAACACGATACCGAACGCGACGTTGGCAAACAACACATTTTACGTTGACGACAATGACGAGGAGATTACAATTCCCGAAGGATCGTACGAAATGGATGCCATCGATGCATATCTAAAACATGCAATTTTACAAAAACGAGGAAAAAGTGATGATGACGATTATCCATTGTCACTTTGTCCCAGCATTAGTAC